TAAAACAGACAACAAATGTGTAGTATTCTGATCTCTCTTATTTAGTTTTCTTCCTTAACTCTTATTACATGCCATATTTTTATTTTATTTTATATATACTCGCCATATCCCCGAATGGTTGTTTTTGGAAAATCCGGTATCCCGTGTCCCCGTATGTGTATCCCCGCCTTTCGCCCATGTGTTTGTGCTTTTTAGATTAATATTAACATTGCAAACATTACAAAAATCTCGTCAAACCACGAGATCCACAATTTCCTGGCTCGAGGGATTTATGAAAGTGTGCAACATTAACATTGATAGGCACTGTGCTAGTAGGCGGCGGAGTCAACCGGAAAACCGACAAAGGGGAATAACACATGGTTGGTTGTTACGAGAAATCAACAAGTTACGATGCCTCTCTCATTATGATCTTAAAATAGTTACATCGTTACATGCTTCCCATTACCAGGAAACCGTGGGTGGTCTTAAAATAGAGTCCCGTACATGCTTGCCATTACGAGAAACTGTAGATAGTGCACAGAGATGTCAACCGGGTTCCATTTCATTCCGTTTAAATCCACCAATGATCTAACAGTCCAGAATTTTAGTTTTTTTCCGAGGAAAATGAACTATGAAAGTAGCTAAAAGTAACTAAACGGGACTTACAGACGCCACTTATTTGCCATTTACATCCCTAATAGTCCACCATAACGCGAGAGACATGGCGACTTTGTTGGTTGTTACGAGGAAGGTGGTCGACTCTACCTTCCCGAGTATGCATTCGACTTCGAAGCTGGATTGAACTTGAAAACACAAAGCAAAATCCGAGATCGGCTTAGGAAAGAATTTTTCTTGGTCAGAACATCAATTTTTTTTTTAGAAAAAAACATGGGCAACTTTTAGTTAACTAGTAAAATTTAAAGGAAAAAAGGTTAAAATTTATAAATAGAAGAAAAAAAAGACATAACTAAAGTGGCTGGTCCAAAAACAGAAGAGCCTGCGTGGCCTTGGCCGCGGGCAAGCCTCTCTTTTTCCTCCTTCCCTCCGTCTAGGGCTTCCTCGCCGCCGCCGCCGCCGCCGCACCTCCTCCCCCTGCCGCGACCTCCCCTCTCCTCTCCCGCCGCCAGCTGCCCGAGCGTCAGGTGCTCACCTCCGACACTCCTCCGGCCGAAGCGCCCGCTCCCGCCGCCCGCCCGCTCCCAGCCAGTCAAAGGTAATTTCTTTTTCTCCTCTCCGGCGAGAAGGTGCGATTTTTGGACATTGGCATACATGCTGATTGTTCTTTCTGGGCGGTGTGTGTTGATTCAAGGGCCTGCGCGATGGAGGTTGGTAACGGGGGCGATTCGGCCATGGAGGTGGAGGCGGAAGTGAGCCCGTTCGCCGCGGCGGCAGCCTCCGGTTCCCCGCTCCCCGGCGGCGTGTCCTCCTCGGCCAGGCGGCTGGGCCTCAAGAACAGCATCCAGACCAACTTCGGCGACGACTACGTCTTCCAGATTGCTTCTTGGTAGGCAGCTTCCCCCCCTTTCCACCAGTTTGGCTGTAGATCCTGTTCTACTTCGGTTCAGATAAGATTAGAATGCTGTAGCTTCCAGCAAGTTTTTTCCTTCCCTTTGCTCATAACTGAATGAACCCGTTAATAAAAACACATGCTACAGTACTTGATATATAGTATATATTTGCTTCTAATTTCGTATATCTTCTTGTGACAAGCCAGGAGATCTCAACGCTCGCGGTTTCTCTGTCGACAAATGCACTCAAGTTCTATGCTCCAGCAACTGGACAGTATCTGGGGGAATGCACAGGGCATACAGGGTCCATCCATGAGATTGCCTTTTCGGCTCCGTCATCGCCGCAGGTGATATGCTCTTGCTCTGGTGATGGGACCATCAGAGCCTGGGACACAAGGAGCTTCAAGCAGGTTTTTGTTTCCCTACTACGTCCTGATTGTTGAAAAGTCATGCTGGCTATACATTAGTATCATCTGAATGTGCATGACTGCAAAGTTTTGTCAATACCTACATAGTTTGATTTTCTCTGGATGTTACATATATTCCAGGTCATCAGTATGTTTCTCAGTTTCCGCACTGTAGATATTTGTATTGTTCCCATAAAGACGCGAGACATTAATTGTTAATTTTTTGATGCTTGGTTTAGATTGAGGTTGGCTCATATTCATTAAAGTTTGAATATGCGCTATTATATATAGTTGAGTTTTTCTCTGTTCTATTCACACTGGACCATTATTAATTCGTTTCCCATACAGATGAAATATCATGTTGTAAAGTATAACCTGTATGATGCAAATGGGGGTAGTGACTCTGTTATTAATTCTGGAATAAATACATTGCATTTATATGTTAATCCTAGCCACATACGAATTCTTTCTGTGATAACATAAAAATATCCCCAATTCCGTGTTCTGTTTTCATATTGTGATTTTGTTTTATGGGGTCCTGCTGCTACTGGACATAATCTCTTGATTATGTTCTACGTCTATTCATGATTTTTTTATACTTGATTCACTGACATAGTACTGGTCTGGTATTTAAATTCAGTGCACTGTATAGATGACTAGTGCTTCAGCTATTTCTAAATTAAAACATACTTGCATTTTCTGTATCCAACCATTCACTGTTCTCTGAATGTCTGGCAGATATCTTTGCTAAATGCTGGCCCCTCGCACGAAATGTTTAGCTTCTCCTTTGGTGGAACAAGTGGTAACCTACTTGCTGCTGGTTCTAGTTCCAAGGTAAAGGAGCACTGTTCTTTCATATATAGAGCCATATCTTTAACAGCTTTAGTTTATCCATATTCACTCTGCACCTGCAACGGTTGGTGTATGCTTATAATATTTCTGTCCACCTTTGGTACCTGTGATGGTCAATGTATGCTTCTAATCTTTGTGATGTATGGGCGGTCATGCTTGAATGTCATATATTGTATACATAAATTGTATGTCGAAGAATTCGTGTTTTGTTGAGTTGTTTATGTTCGATTTCTCTTTCTTTCAGTTTTAAGAATTATAATAGACATGTTGTAAAATAATTGAAAATAATGATTCAATGCAAGGCCATACCCCTTGGGATAGCATTCAGAGACAGAACCCAGATATCCCACCGAATATTCGGATATGATTTAGACGCTAGCATGAGAGTTATCCAAAAATTGATTGTATGCTATATCGGATTGTGTCTTGAAAACTATCACCCACACCTGGCCTAAGAAATACTAGCTCAACATTGTATCGGCTGGCTTCACTGAACACACAGCCCAAATATGTGTGATGCTAGCATAAGTCCTGCTGTCAGTTAAGCGGGGCCTGCTAGTAATACAAAAACAGTGGTACTGTTGTACCTTCTTCATATGAACTCCAAATCAAGCAAAATATGGTTATTTCACTTGGTTCAGCATGATGCCTGACAAAATATTTGCTACCATCTCAATTCAATCATCATTAGCTGTATTTCTTGGGCTAGGTGTTGATTAACATGTGAACATCGTTAAGACAAAGTATTGAACTAGCAAGGGTGGACAGTTGAGCCTTACCTGCAAAACATACTTCAGATTGTGCACTTTTGTTAGGCCAGGTTATGAATTTTGTGCCTATTCATCTCTATACGTGGTATATGCTAGACTTTCGGGTGAAGCAAAGGACGTATGCTCAAGCGAGTTGCTACCCTCAGCTGTGGTAGAGCTGCAAGCTGCCTACGAATTATCCTACACATCTGATTTCCTTGTATGATAATTGCCAGTATAGTTCATGTTTTCCCATAGCAATGTCTTTTCAATCAGAATTTGTATTTTTATTTCATAAATATGTACATCTGATAGAGCAAAAAAAGACAAGGTTTCATGAGGGGTTATTCAGGTTGAGTCTCACTAAAGTTGCTTGATTGTAGGTTCTGTTGTGGGACTGGAGAAGTTCAAAACAGGTTGCCTGCTTAGAGGAATCCCACATGGACGATGTAACCCAGGTATGCATTGTTCTACAGAGTTTTACGCGTTTTACAATAAGACAAGCCTAACTTGCATACCCCATGTATGTGGATCCTTTGTTTTGTTAACTTGTTTGGTGACATTGCTGTCTTCAGTGTTCATACTTTTGCATCTACTTCATATCGGCCACATGATATTTATCCACTATTTCTCGATTGGGTGGTTATCAGTCATTGTTGTGCTGATTTACCGCTCTTTGTTGGACAGGTTCGATTTGCACCAAATCAACAGAGTAAACTCATTTCTGCGGCAATTGATGGTTTAATATGCGTCTTCGACACTGATGGTGATATCAATGAGGACGATCATTTGCTATCTGTATGTGTTCTTTCTCTCCCTATGTTGTGCTTTAAATACTTAGGGATTCATGTATAATAGTTGAAAGGGCACGATATGTTATCACTTGAGTACTAGTATTTAACAGGTCTGCTTACAAGATATTTGTTGCATTATATCTATCAACTTTTTGGTGATGGCCCTCAGATATTTGTTGTTCAATAGGTTATGAATGCGGAGACTTCTGTTTCCAAGGTGGGTTTCTATGGAAACAAGTATCAGAAGCTTTGGTGTTTGACCCATATTGAAACACTAAGGTAATTTTGTTCCACATGATGTTGTAAAAGATTCTGAAAATTATTCAAGTGGCAAAGAAACCTAAACCTTCTTGGCCTTTGCTTTGAGAGTATTTCTGACCGGTTCTCCGTTTTCCCTATTATGCATCCCCTACTTGTTTTACAGTTAATTAATAAGCACACAAGTTTACATTATGCTGTTTGCTATTTAATTATCACAGCACTTGGGACTGGAATGATGGGACTAGAGAATTGAATATAGAGAATGCTCGTTCCCTGGCTAGTGATAAGTGGAACCTTGACCATGTGAGTACGCAAAACTGCTTAACCTTATCTTGTACATTCTATTTCCATCTTTTTATTGAGTTCAGTATATGCTGATCATGGTTTGGTATTGTTTAACAAGGATTTTTTTGCAGTGTTTTTATATGACACGTCAACCGCGGGCTTACGCCGGCCTGATTTTTTTTAGTGTTACATGCACATGTTCTTGTTTTCTCTTGACAATTCATTTAGCATTCTGAATTACTGTTAACTTCATTTAAATTTTAAAATTTTAATCTGACTGTAACACCCATTTTTGGCAAAAAAAACGAGATTCATCTGTGTAACACCACAACAACCATTGTGACTTTTAGACATCTCAGTGGGTGTGGCTTTGCTCTTATTCTTGTCTTTATCGTCAATAGGCGTCCTTGCTTGCAAGTACCATTTCCTCTAAATCCGGACGAGTTGCTTTTTCGACTCCTTTTCCACGCGTGCATTGCTGTTGAAATGAGGTTATAAATACTGAAGATCTTCCCCCCTCTGAAATTCTTACATTTGTTCTATTGACAGTTGGACTACTTCGTCGACTGCCACTACTCTCTGCCTGATGACCGTTTATGGGCTATCGGTGGCACCAGCGAGGGGACACTAGGTTACTTCCCTGTAAAAAACAATCCTGCGGGAGCGATCGATTGGGTGGAGGCTGTCCTCGAAGGAGGCCACACAGGAGTTATCAGGACCATATGCCCAGGTGGAAGCAGTCTTGAGAGCCTTGGCCAAAACAAGGGCATCTTTGGGTGGACAGGAGGCGAGGATGGCCGTCTATGTTGCTGGCGCTCGGACGATGTCGCAGCGACGAAGAAGTCCTGGATCTCCAGTACGCTCGTGTCACGCATCGACAAGAAAACGAAAATCCGACATCAGCCCTACTGACCTTCCAAGATTGATGTCTGGTCTCTCGGTTAACGCATCCATATGGGATGTGGTTTTTGTTTGTATCGAGGCGATAACGGTGGGTCCCTGATTTTCTTGCCAATTAACAATTGCTGCTGTGTTGGCATTTTACTGTTGATCGTGTTATTGCTGTTTCCTGGTTGTACTAATTTTTGCTGTTGGTAAATGAAGCAAGGAGTGCGATGGTCGTGATTCTTCTCTACAATTTTCTCCTTTCTATTTTGGTCTTAACTTTTCATCTTTTTATGTTTCTCTCTGATGTATCGGATATCATTCCTTTTTTCTTTATTAATCTTCCACTTGTATAGTTGCATTATAACTGAACATTATCACATGCCTAGATTATTTTGCTGTTTTCAGTTTTTGTTGTTGAGGTATCTGACATTATAACTTGCAAACATATAGTACTAAAACTGTGTCTTTATGACAAATACATTTTAGGCCAAAGGTGTAGGTATGCAAATTATTCCCCGTATCATGATATTTATAGCTGTATAAAAGAAAAGATACTAATGACACACAATTATTTATAGCTGTATGAAAGAAAAGATGCCAACGACACAATTATTCACCTTACCAGTTATGCCTTCATGTCTAAATATATGCTTTCATATAAAAACTACTACTACCTACCAAGATGTGCGGTCTCTAGGTGTTGAACCGGTATGGGCCCTAGCCCATCAAGATCTGTCTCTTGGGCCCAAGCCCATGAGAGGTGCTGACCTAGAAGAGGAGCCCCTCTTCCCCCTGCCCTAGTGTGAGCCGCCACATCTAAGACACACACTCACGCAAGCAACAAGGTGTAGGGGAGGCGCTGTGTGAAGGTACCCATCTCCCGATTCAACATGGTATCGAGCCAGGCGACGAAGGTGGCGGCGTAGTCCCTCGCTGGAGAGGCGGCGGTGGGGCCCAGCGGGGTCAGGCGAGAAAGGAGGCTCGTGCGTGTGTGAGGCGGCGGGTCTGCTGTGGTGCGTGCGGCGGCGGCTGGGCTGGGCTCGAGGAGCTGCAACGCGGCCGGGAGGGAGCTGCTTCCTCTTGTCCTGCTTCGTGTCCCTGGGGTGGCTAGCTGCGAAGGGGGCGGCCGAGGAGGGCTGCTGCGGGCTGTGCAGGCGGCTGCGGCGGGAAGAAGAGGAGGAGGAGGAAGAAGGCGGCAGCGGATTTGGGCTGCGTGCGAGTCAGGCTGAGGCGGGGAGCTGCTGCTGTTGGTGCTGCTGAACAGAGGAGGAACTGCAGCAGCTGCTGCTGCCTTGTGCTGTTCCTGGGAGCTTGCTGAGCTGCTGGTGCTTTTCGGCTGCTTCTTGGTGCTGCGGCAGAGGAAGAAAGAGTGGTTGCCTGCTGGACTGCTCGTTCTGGAACAGGAAGAGCCTTGGCTGGACCACTTGTGTAATTTACAGAGATTTTTTTTTCTCTGTGGACTTGCTGTTGTGAGCTTGGTGTTGTGGTGGTGGTGGTGGTGCTCCTTGGAAAAAAAGACTCTCCGAGGCTGAGTTTTGCTGTTGCTGCTCATCCCGCCAAACGATGGCTGAACCAACTGGTCTTGCCGAGGCTTTGGAGAAGCTCGCTAAGATCCTCGCGGAGTCCAACTCTGGGGCCATCGTTCCTCGACAGGAAGTGGCTCAAAAGCTTGAAATGTCGCCCCTGGACATGAAGCTAGAGGGGGCAACAAATTATTTGAGCTGGTCCAGAAGGGCTTTGTGGGCTGTGGAGCAGAAGGAGCTTGATGGCTATTTGTTGGGCACCGTTGTAGAACCAAGGGACACGAGTAGTGCAGAGGGCAAGAGGTGGAAGGTCATCCACTCTGTCCTTATGGTGTGGTTGTTGAACTCCGTGGTGCCCTCCATTGGACGCTCTGTGGAGGGGCTATCCTCACCTGCTGAGATATGGAAGATTCTGTCCACTCAATACTCTGGCAAGGGCAATGTCATGCTCATTGCTCAGATTGAGGACAAGATTAGGTTGCTGCGTCAAGATGATGGCATGTCAGTGATGACATACGTGGCAGAACTGCAGGCTCTGTGGGCTGACCAGGATAACTGTGATCCCTTGGAACTCTATGATGCGGCTTCAATCGAGTCAGGGCATAAGTGGATGGCACGCAGGCGTGTGCTGAAATTTTTGGCTGGCCTAAAAGGTTGCTTTGATGGCAGGAAGGCTTCCCTGTTGCACCAACCTAGTCTGCCTACCATTCCTGAGGCTATTGCAGCGATGACTCAAGAGGAGGTGCGCCTCTCCCTTGAGCATGCAGACATGAAGGTTGTGCCAGCTTCGACATTTGCAGTCACTGAGCGCATGGAGTGGGGAGATCCCACCAAATGTCATATCTGTGGGGAGGTAGGTCACTGGAAGAGAGAATGTCCAACTCGTGGCAGAGGCAGGGGATATAACAGAGGGGGAGCAGGCAGAGGTAGAAGTGCTCGAGGCAGAGGTGGATACTCAGAGACCTCATGGAGCCAGGCTTCTAGAGGTAGAGGTGGCTACTCAGGACACTCAGGGGGTCAGAGGGCTCACATGGCCGTTGCAGGAGACACTGGGACGTCCAAAGGCAAAGATGTAGATGATGTTGCCTATGGAGACTTTGCTCACTGGGCCTCCACTGATGAAGGTAATCCGGAAAGAGCATCTCTTGCTACTAATGAGAGTGCTCCAGAGTGGGTTCTTGACTCTGGAGCATCTAAGCATGTTGCTAGTAACTCATGTGTGTTCGAATCTTACACTAAGCATCCTCCCTCTCACACGGGCACTATACAAACGGCTGATGGCACAAAACAACCAGTCATAGGGGTTGGTACAGTAAAGTGTACTCCGACCATTTCCCTATCGTCAGTTTTACATGTGCCAGCCTTTCCTGTCAATTTGGTCTCTTTCAGTGCACTCATTGATCAAATGGACTGTCGTGTGATCCTTGACAAGTTCGGTTGCTTGATTCAGGAGCGACAGACGAGCCAGGCGGTTGGGACTGGCACCAGGCGTAGGGGGCTCTGGTACATGGACCAGGAGGTGCAGCCGGACTTGGTGTGTGCTGCGACCATGGAGGATAAGGAGAAGCAGGCGATGATCCATCATTGTAGGATGGGGCATGTATCTTTTGATAAGATGAGTAGAATATTTCCGGATGTTATGTGTGGAATAGGCAAAGGCAAGCTGACATGTGATGCTTGTGAATATGCAAAACACACACGGGCCTCATATGTGAGTAAGGGGCTCAGGAGCATATCTCCTTTTATGCTTATTCATTCGGATGTATGGACTAGCCCAATGGTGTCAATGAATGGGAAGAAGTATTTTGCTACCTTTATTGACTGCTATTCTCGCATGACTTGGATTTACTTGATGCGTCACAAGGATGAGGTGTTTAGCTGTTTTCAGAACTTCCATGCTCTTGTAAAGAACCAGTTTCAGGTACAGGTCAAGGTGCTCAGGACGGACAATGGAACGGAGTATGTGAACAACATTTTTGGGGCTTTCATGGCTGACCATGGGATTCTTCATCAAACTTCATGTCCGGACACCCCCCCTCAGAATGGAGTGGCCGAACGGAAGAATCGTCATGTTCTTGAGGTTGCTCGGTCGTTGATGTTTACCATGAATGTGCCTAAGTTCTTGTGGGATGATGCAGTTATGACAGCCACATACTTGATCAACCGAACACCTTCCCGGATACTTGGCATGAAATCTCCGTCCGAGTTGATCATTGGAGATAATAAGTTTGTTGTTCCCCCAAAGTTGTTTGGCAGTACCTGCTTTGTTCGTGATCACCGACCATCTGTTGGCAAGCTTGATCCTCGGGCAGTGAAGTGTGTCTTTCTGGGATACTCGTCTAGTCAGCAGGGGTATAAATGTTGGTGTCCCTCTGAAAAACGCAGGTTTGTAAGTATGGACGTTACATTCAGGGAGTCTGAGCCATTCTATGGTGAGTCGACTGATCTCAGTCTGTTGTTTGCAGAGCTTGACCACCTACACCCTGTGCATGATGGTCAAGAGGGGGAGAAGGATGTGTCTCATACTCACGGTGATCCTGTGGACATTAACACTGATAATGATGTGCAGGCTCAGGTTCAACCAATAGTGGGTACAATTCCGGTTAGTACCATCACTGATGATGATGTGCGGGCTCATGTCGAGCCAACTGTCGATACACTTAAGATTGGTGCTCTCCAGGTTCCTGTTCGGGATCGATGGCAGACGAATACCCTGGTGTACTCTCGGCGGCAACCACAAGTGCAGGGGGAGCAGCAAGGCAGGGAGGCAAGAGTGCAGGGGGAGCAGCAAGGCAGGGAGGCAAGAGTGCAGGGGGAGCAGCAAGGCAGTGAGGCAAGCTCATCTGACACAGTGGAGCTGCCCATTGCGTTGCGAAAACCTACACGTGAAGTGGCAAGGAAGGGTGAGGTAGCAAGGAAGGCTCTGCCAAAGGATGATGCTTGTGATGACCTTGATATTGGCAATTTTGTGTCTTACAAGGCTTTGTCACCTTCATATAAGGCGTTTGTTGCCTCTCTGCAAACTGTGTCTATCCCTAGGGATTGGAAGGCTGCAAAGCAAGATCCGAAGTGGCGTGAATCGATGATAGAGGAGTTAGAAGCATTGAAAAAAAACAAGACATGGGTGCTAACCACATTGCCGGCAGGAAAGAAAGCAGTGAGTTGTAAGTGGATTTTTACTGTGAAGCAGAATCCTGAGGGCAAGGTGGAACGGTATAAGGCTAGATTGGTTGCCAGAGGATATAGTCAAACTTATGGAATTGACTATGATGAGACATTTGCTCCAGTTGCAAAGATGAACACGGTACGGGTATTGGTCTCTTGTGCTGCAAACTTTGGGTGGAAATTGCACCAGTTAGATGTCAAGAATGCCTTCTTACATGGTGACTTGAAAGAAGAGGTATACATGGAGATACCGCCAGGTTTTGGCACAGAACAGACTACGGGGAAGGTATGCAGGCTGAAGAAATCCTTGTATGGTCTGAAGCAATCGCCGAGGGCATGGTTTGATAGGTTCAGACGAGCTGTTTGGAATATGGGGTATGGCCAATGTAATGGTGACCACACGGTGTTTTATAGACACACTAATAAGAAGATCACCATTGTTGCAGTGTATGTTGATGATATCATCATCACTGGAGATGATGAGGAGGAAATAAAGAGAGTGAAGGGGTGTCTGAGCAAGGAGTTTGAGGTAAAAGACTTAGGAAATCTAAAGTACTTCCTTGGCATAGAAGTGGCCCGGACAGAGAAGGGAATATCTTTGTGCCAACGAAAATACACCCTGGATCTTTTGAGTGACATGGGCATGATGGGATGTCGTGCAACCCCTACTCCAATTGAACAAAATCATCAAGTAACAGCACAATCAGGTGAGCTAGTGAATAAGGAAGATTATCAGAAGCTGGTTGGGAGGTTATTGTACTTGTGTCATACTAGGCCTGACATTACGTATGCCGTGGGGGTGGTGAGCAGATACATGCATGAACCAAGGAGAGGGCATCTTGATATTGTTCACAGAATCCTGAGATACTTGAAGGGGACTCCGGGTAAAGGGTTGTGGTTTGCGAAGAGTGGACATCTTGAGGTGGATGGCTATAGTGACTCTGATTGGGCTAGCTGTCAAGATGATAGACGATCAACTTCAGGTTACTGTGTGTTTGTGGGAGGAAATTTGGTGTCATGGAGAAGCAAGAAACAGAAATTTGTGTCTAGATCAACAGCAGAAGCTGAATATAGAGCATTATCTCAAGGGTTGTGTGATATGCTCTGGGTGAAGCACCTACTATGCGAGTTGAAACTCTTGAGGAAGGGACCCTTAAGGGTGTGGTGTGACAATCAGTCAGCTATAGCCATTGCTAATAACCCAGTTCAACATGATAGGACGAAGCATGTGGAAATTGATCGCTTCTTCATTAAAGAGAAACTTGATGCTGGGATCATCAGCCTTACTCATGTCAGCTCTGGGCAGCAGTTTGCAGATTGCTTGACAAAGGGACTGGGAACAAAGGACTGTAACTTGGCGTGTGACAAGATGGGGATGATAGATATCTACCACCCATCTTGAGGGGGAGTGTTGAACCGGTATGGGCCCTAGCCCATCAAGATCTGTCTCTTGGGCCCAAGCCCATGAGAGGTGCTGACCTAGAAGAGGAGCCCCTCTTCCCCCTGCCCTAGTGTGAGCCGCCACATCTAAGCCACACACTCACGCAAGCAACAAGGTGTAGGGGAGGCGCTGTGTGAAGGTACCCATCTCCCGATTCAACACTAGGTTTACAATTGTTATGAGATTATTTTTTTCTTGTATGTATTGAGAAGTTAAGCCAAATTGATGTGGCTCACTGTTTTTTTATAATAAGTTTATCGCTGAGAAATGAGAATTAAGAATTTAAAACCTAAGACTCGCAGGGTTGTAGATTGAGACCACCTTTTCATAAACTACCCTTGTATTTTTTTGACACAAAAAGGAGTGAGTACAAGCTAAATTATAAAATAATACTTTCTCTGATCCATATTACTTGTCGCAGCTTTAGTTCAGTTTAATACTCCCTCCGTCCGGAAATACTTGTCGCATAAATGCATAAAAATGGATGTATCTAAGAACTAAAATACGTCTAGATACATTCATTTCGCTGACAAGTATTTCCGGACGGAGAGAGTAGGTTGTAATTTTATTTGGTCAGTTTACTGGTACTCGTGTCCTTTGTCTATCATCGCTCCCGCGGAAACCCAAACCAATGCTCACCTACCTGGTGAGAGATATATGCTACTACCCCGGTCCTGATTTTGTAAGTCTTTTTTGTATTTTGTGTCAAAGTTTGACTATAAATTTAACTAACAAAATATTCATGCATGTCACCAAAAATTATATTGTTGGATTCATATTATGTTCAAATATGAATCCAATGATATAATTTTTTGTGGCATGCATTAACATTTTGTTAGTTAAATTTAAGGTCAAAATTTATCACAGAATACAAAGGAGACTACTAAACCAGGACGGAGGTAGTAATGTTCAGAGGTTGATTTTGAAATTATCATGTAAAAAAAACATAATTTTGAAAAAAAGAGATCCAAATACACATCCATATTGGTGTGTGGATTTCAAAATCAAATTTAAGGGAGGAAAGTGCAATCCATTTAATACTAGATGCCGTGAAATGAAACACGTGAAATCTCAAAAATTCTTATTGAATCTCTTAAAATCTATGGGAAGCCAAAAAAATGATCTTAAAAAACCACAATGGTGCAAAATCCTGAAATAGATAGGTTTTTGAATATATTCAACAAGATAATGCATTTTTGAAAACCGGTGGCCACACGACAGCCTCTGCAATCATGTGGCTACCACTGTACATGTCAGCTACTATAGGATTTCTCAACGCTAGTTCAGCTCCACATCGGGAGAGTTCATCGGAGTAGAGCCAGAGCGCCCACTGATTTGAGCCACCCGCCGGCAGTGACATGGCTTCCCTGCTCATACCGCTGCTGGGCCGCGTGGCGGCCAAGGCCGGGGACGCGCTGGTGGCCGAGCTGCTGCGGGCGTGGGGGCTGGACAAGGCCCGCCGGAAACTGGAGCGCCACCTCGCCGCCGTCCAGTGCGTCCTGCTGGACGCCGACGCCAAGAGCCGCACAAACCCGGCCGTCCGCCATTGGGTCAAGGACCTCAAGACCGCCGCCTACCAGGCCGACGACGTCCTCGACGGCTTCCGCTACGAGGCGCTGCGCCGCCGTGCCGCCCAGATACGCCCCAGCTCCACGGCACACAAGGTTCGTCCGTGTCCTACCTGTTCCCACCCAACTTTATTTTCAGTTTCATTTGGTAATGGAAGCCTTTTAAATTCAGTTTAATTTGGAAATGGAAGCCTTTTAATTTCAGTCTCGTTTGGAAATGGAATCGTTTCGATTTCAGGTTAAGATACTAATTTGGAAGTTCTGTTTGTTTTCATCTCAGATGCTGAGCTACTTCACTGTCAATAGCCCGGTTGTTTTCCGTCTCTCAATGAGCAAGAAGATGAAGAATTGCCTTGATATGATAGATGAGCTGGTTGTGGAGATGAACAATTTCCACTTCCTACAACACGCCGATGCACCAAGCATTGTTCACCCGCAAACACACTCTCATGTTGATGAACTAGAGGTTGTTGGCAGACAAGATGAGAAGGAACGGGTGGTCAAGATATTGCTACATCACTCTCGCAACAACAATAGTGATAACAATGTCATGGTGCTCCCCATAGTTGGTATGGGGGGAATTGGTAAGACCACCCTTGCTCAACTTGTGCACAATGACCAAAGGGTTGTGCATCACTTTGAGTTGGTCTTATGGGTATGCATCTCTGACAGGTTTGTTATTGAAGAAATAATACGATCTATAATAGAAGTCGCCACGATGACCAAATGTGATTCCACTAAGATGGAGGCACTGCGGAAGCAACTTGGTGAAGTGTTGGGCAGGAGAAGGTACCTCATAATTTTGGATGATGTTTGGAATGAAGATAGACAGAAGTGGGATGATATGAGATCATTGTTGTGCTCACATGCTGGCTCAGGTAGTGCCATAATTGTGACAAGTCGCAGCGATCAAGTTGCTTCTATCATGGGCACACTTCCTCCACGCCAGATATCACTTCTAGATGAGGATCAATCATGGGAGCTTTTTCATAGAAACACATTTGGAAGAGGAGTGGAAAAGCAAGAGGAATTGATTTTAACGGCTAAGAATATTGTCCATAAGTGTAAGGGATTGCCTCTTGCTATCAAAACAATGGCAGCTTTACTTCTCTCAAAGCATCACAATCAGTGGCTTGCTGTTCTAGATAGTGATGTCTGGAAGAATGGCATTCTCGCAACTGGGATTGTACCTGCCCTACAACTGAGCTATGATCACTTGTCATCAGAAGAGAAAATATGTTTTTCCTTCTGTGCTATTTTCCCAAAAGATAGCCCGATGGATAAAGACATGTTAATCCAACTATGGATTGCAAATGACTTTATTGCATCAGAAACAAGAGGCCAGGAAATTTTTGATGTGCTAGTTTGGAGATGTTTCCTCCAATTAGATGTGGATATTGGAGAGAATTGGCTCTCTGAATTTCGAGATGAGTTCATCCACCGAACTACTTGCAAGATGCATGATCTTATGCATGATCTTGCTGACTTCGTAAGCGGAAATGATTGTTTCATTCTGCAAGAATCTTCATTATCTCAAAAAATTGTGCAAGGGTCCACATATGCTACTTCCTTGCAGCATGAGGTTCGACATTTGTCACTTGATCATGTTAGTACTTATACTGTTGCAGCCATGGAGGAAATTATCGCTCCTCGGCCCCGCACAATATTAATCCAAAGGGAGTGGACTAGGAATCCTCTGAGTATGGCGAAGTCAACATTCGTGTCTTTACGAGCATTGAAGACCTTCTCAATCAAGACACATATGACAAACATGAAGCATCTTCGTTATTTAGATTGTTCTTATTCCCTTATATCTGCATTGCCTGAAGCCACTACCATGCTGTATAGCTTGCAAACATTAAAGCTCATTGGTTGTCGATACCTGAAGAAACTGCCAGAAGAGCTGAGATATATGAGCAGTCTTCGACACATCTTACTCGCTGGGTGTCATCGTTTGGAGCGCATGCCACAAGGTATTGGTCAGATGAATTCTCTACATACATTGACGAGTTTTGTCATTGTTAGTGATGCAGGCTGCGGAATTGATCAACTGAAAGACTTGAATCTAGGTGGTGCTCTTTCTTTGACTGAGCTGAGAAAAGTGCATAGTCCAGAAAATGCTAAACAAGGCAATATGTCCGCAAAGCATAATTTGAAACGATTATCACTCGATTGGGCAAGTGGATCTTCCAGCACACATGTTGGATATGAAGTAGATACTAATGCAGAAGGAATATTAGATGCTCTTCATCCTCACAAAATGCTTGAAGTTTTACTATTATCTAATTATACTGGTGCTAAATTTTCACCATGGATGCACAACTCTCCACTGTTAGAACATCTGAGCGAACTTTCTCTAAGTAGCTGCCCAAACTGCAAGGATCTTCCACCATTATGGAAACTTCCTTCTCTCGGATATTTGAGTTTGGATGGTTTGCATAGCTTGAGAAGTATATGTGTTGGTAATGATGATAAAGATAATGTGGAATCCTGCATTTCCCCACCACTCTTCTTTCCTAAATTGGAAACCATGATAGTTTCTAACATGCCTAAGCTACGGAGATGGCACCAGGAGGTGGCAGGACAAGTAGCGGTTGTATCATTCCCTCATCTCAAGAAGCTACATATTTATGGATGCCCAATGCTAGCAAGCATGCCCAAGATGCTTCCTTTGCTTGAAGATCTACTGGTGAAGAAGGCAAGACACATTCCCCTTTATCATCTGATGAATCTGTGTGTGCAATCTAATCTTGAGTGCAGAGGCTCCATTGAAGTGAAGCCTACAGTTGGCTGGCTGCCTATTGGTGACCTTCACTTCTTGAAGCCTGGTGACCTGACACTAAGACTCAGATTTTTGACGGAAATTGTAGCGCGCTTTGAAGAGGAGCTAAACAGAATACCTTGCAGATTTATTAAGAAGCTAAGTATAGAATCTTGTGGCTGTCTTTTCTCATCTGAACCATCCCAAATACAACGGAATATATGGAACTATTTTGGTTTTATTGAATGGTTGTGCATTAAAGGTAGCAATAATATAGTACAATGGCCAGTGGTAGAAATAAAAAACTTGAATAGTCTTCGAGCTCTGCACTTGATAGAGTGTTTCAACTTAACTGGATCAGTTCCATCAACAATATCTGAAGACGAAGAAGTCCTGCCTCATCGACTCCTAGAACTTTCAATTGTACGAAGTGGAAATTTGGTGGAGGTACCAAAGTTGCCTGAATCTCTTGAAACATTGCTCATTGCTTCTTGTCCCAAGTTGGTGTGCATGCCAAAGAATCTTGGGAACATGAAGAAACTGAGAGAACTCAGTGTACATGTGTGCGATGCCCTGGCGGCATTTCCAGATGGAATGTATGGATTCACTGCACTCAAGCGGCTGGATATGCAGGGGTGCCCAAGGTTAGAGGCACTACCGGAGGGACTCCTGCAGCAGCTCCAAGCCCTCGAGGGACTAAGGATCCTTGACTGCCCCAAGTTGGACGGAGCCCTCTCAATAGGAGGCGCTTACTGGCATTTGGTTCAAGCAATTCGACATAGATATGTTGGCAATTCCACAGAGTATTCCCACAGCAGCGCTAATTGGTTTGCTAGACTATGATTTGGATGCCTGTGTGTCATGTTCCAGGATTTATTTATTTGTTGAATCCGTTAATTATATGTATGTCGGGTACAACCTACCTAGACTTGATGGTTTTGCACAAAAATACTCGTGTCTATGTAAAGCTAGACTCTGATTACGATGGTCTATGAAGGAACGTGTCAAAATGTTCAGCAGATTTCTATGGGGATTCGTGCTATAACAGAAAACTATGTTATTGCTTCCTTTTCCAATGCAACTAGTAAAAGAAGGGGATGGCTTAGGCCTCCTAAGGGGTTTGTAAAACTTAATGTTGATGCATCTTTTGATCAAGACTTGCTTAGGGGTACATCTGGCTCTGTGATAAGAGATGACGAAGGTAAATTCATTGCTGAAGGAAATTGGAAGACTGATTGGTGTGCCGATGTCCTTACCACTGAAGCTTTGGCGTTAAGACATGGCTTATCTCTCGCCCAAAAGGCGGGCTAAAATCGTCTTGTTATTAGTTCTGATAATGTGGAGGTCATCGACATTATGAAGGTTTGGAGGACGTTCTGTGCGAGCGGCGGCAGCAATGTTTGATGATTGTAATTTTTTGGCTTGTGATTTTTCTCTCATTAGTTTTGAACATTGTAATAGAGAAGCGAATATGGTTGTTCATGAACTTGCTAGATTAGCTAGATTTTCATCGACGAAGGATTGGTTTGAGGAGCCTTTGAGCGAAATTGTATCTTTTCTTATAGACGATGTAACTGATATTTCAAATAAATAAAGTTTGCTATTTTTTTTAAAAAGCAGGCTAATACTTAAATTGGAGAGGAAATTATTACTGTACAATATATTTCTTAGACTCACGCATGGTAGAATCCTCTATCAATATATTTATAGATAAAACAAGCACAACCACAAAAAATAATATAAACATGCTACAATACATATAAATGTCAAGCACGTTGCATGTGTAGGCCATCCAAACTAGATCCAATACATGAGTCGGTTTTTCTATCTCTAAAGAAATGGAACAAATTACTTTATAGAAGGATGCATATGACTTTATCATTTTTGTGCTTTGTTTCACTTTAGATTAACGTAATTTATTTCGACAATACATCTAAACTAAATTTTAAACTATAAAACAATTTCCATAATAAAAAAAGTACAATTTAATTGTTATATTTATAATGATAGAAGGTTGCGATGTATGCTAGTAATGTTTAAGTTTTTAAATATTATAAATGCAGATATGTGGTAAATATTGTTAAATTTAATGAAAATACTATTTAAATTTTGTGATAGTGAGATATGAATGAGTAAAGATATTTACTATAAATAGGTGATTGTGGACTCATACTGGAAGCTTATCCAGCTAGACAAACGTATTGTCATGACGGCCATCCACCTCAGGTTGATTGCCATTTGCGGTTGCACGCAAAACTTACATGGAGTGAGGCATTATATTAACGAATGATATTAGCAAGAACGAGGCGATCAATAATTGCTTTAAATGAGAATTTATTTTTACCTGACAAGAAGAAAAAAGACATTTGTTGAAAGATAATTATCTGCAAGTTGTACGAGCAGTTTAACCGTTGTTATGGGTAATGTCTTTATAGAACCTCATGCTAGAAAGCTTTATAGCAAAATTGTCATTGCCACGCAAGTTTTAAGAGAAAAAAATATAAGAGTCTCTCCGCTATTGATATATCTCCTTGCAAGTGAAGTACCCTATAAATTTACTGTTTGTGCACCTCCAAAAGTATTGTGCTTGTAGACACTTATTTTCCTTTTGTCAGAGTTCAGCTTTTTCGCTCTCTTGTAGATATTATTCTGTAGATGGGTCCTTAATTTGTTGTCATATGGTGCATCACGTATTTACTCTCCTACACTTGTTTATTGGACTTGGCGCACCATATTACAAAACTTTGATAGCCTCGGCGCGGCGCGACCGTTTTGCTGTGAGAGGTGAGAAGGTTGCGAAGAGCAACGTTATCAAACTCTTTACCGTTGTCAGTTTGGAGTGCAAGAATGGGGCCGCCGAACTGTGTGGTGACATAGGAGTAAAAGGACATGAGTGTGGCTAAGGCATCGGATTTGCGATGAAGAGGAAAAGTCCACACATAATGAGAATAATCATCTAAAATCACCAAATAGTATAGGTAGCCCGTGTTGCTTGCAATGGGAGACGTCCAAACATCACTATGAAGTAATTGAAACGAAAAGGTAGAAACAATTGTAGACGCACTAAAGGGAAGACGAACGTGCTTGCCTAAACGACAAGCCTCACAAGTATGCTCGTCGAGATTATTACATGAGAAAGAAAAACTCTTAAGAATTTGACGTAAAACGGTGGGGTTGGGGTTGCCCAAGCGAGCATGCCAAAGGTCGACGCCGGTGGCGAGGGCGACGGGTGTGGAGGTGGAGGCGCTTGCGTGCACGGGGTAGAGCTCATCGGGACTGTCACATCGGTGAAGTACCATCCGGATACATGCGTCCTTCACAGAAAAACCAACATTATGAAAGTCAACAGTAAGTGG